AATCATAACAACATACTATAACCAGGATAACAATCCATAGGGTCAGCCTTGGTGCCTTAGACCTTTTCGATATAGTGATGAGAACTTACTTGGCACTGCTGAAGTACCACAGATAAAACTACAGCTGCTGGTTGACAGATTCCCAAACAATCAACATCACTAGAACTTACACTTTTAATCCCTGACTTCTAAAATTGTGATAGTTAGCTCCTCGAGACCAAGACCTTGCTATATAATTATTGATTTTAGGGCTACTATGCTTTTATTAATTTATTTATTTATTTATTAAATGGGATGTTACAATTTTTTATAAATTATGTGCTATGTGTACATATTATCTGTTTACCCGATATCTATGTTGGATAAACGTTTTATACATATTTTAAATGATTTAAACTTTATATGTATCTTATATCTACAAATATGTTGGGGTAAAACATGTGTAGATGAATTCATTGGTGTGTGATGAAACAAAATGATGAGAGGCCTCGATGTTGACAATGATCCAGTCATCTAGCGGATTTTAGATGACGACCACAGACTATTCTAGAAAGTTTAGTGGAAAGCTAGCAGGCTCACAACCTATAGGTGTTTGTGAACGATGTGTTCACTAGTGTACTCCATCCACCTCATGGTTTCCTTACGAACATATATGGCCGAGGAACCCCCTTAGTAGTAGTGTCCATTCCGATGAAAATCCTTAGGATAGGTCCCTTACTTAAGATTCTCTAGGGACAGAAAATGAGGATAATTGGAGCGGATAATCGGGCTGTTTGATTTCATGAAATTAATAAAGTTAACTATTATGGGATGAAAACCGTATGTGCTCACCAGGCTCCCAAGCCTGACCCACTAAGTTTTCTCATATAAAAGTAGTGGCAAGAGAGCACATGAGTGATGACCTGATAAGAGATTAATGGATTATAGGCCACTAGAATAAATAGATATTATAAGGCCTATGTAGTTTATTTTTATGCTTTTAATCTATATTAACAATGATATCCCCAGGTTTTTAATATAATACATTTCTTCGAAAATGCTTTGATAAATTCTTTATCATATTTTTTGGGAACAAATTACACAATATATTTCCTTAAAAATATACTCTAGTTTTCAAATAAAGCATAAGCAAATCGGTCTTTTCTGGCCATCAATTTGGAAATGTCACAGAGTATGGGACATGAAAAGAGATGAAGTGAGAAGAGTTTAAGAGAGGTAGAGAGAGAGAGAGAGAGAGAGAGAGAAGAATAGAGCATGTGAATGATGTGATAAGAGATGATAACAAGTGAGGTTAAAGTAAGAGTAGGGTATGAGACGAGCCTGAGAAAAGGCTAAGAAAGAGTATGTGATGAGAAGACACGATTAGAATAGAAGAGTATGTGGAGAGAATGAAAGTTGAGTATGTTATGATAAAGAAGAGAGTATATTTATAGAGTATGAGAAAGAAGAAAAAATTATGTTAGACTATGATAGACCAGACTTATAGTTTGATGTTGTAAATATTTTTTCATGTTTTGCAGGTTCAACTGTTAGCCATTGTATGATTAGAGGTAGGATCACAAAGACTTGGACTAAAAATAGTTTTTGTTTTTAGTGTAAATTGTTGTTGTAATTTATGTTTATGATTTTATTGTAAACTCGAATATTGCTTGAGATGTAAAATGTTTATGAGTTAATAGAATTACACATTTGATAGTAACTCTGATAATTCCTACATAATTAGATTAGAAAAAGTTGGATCATTACACCTCAACTAATGTCATTAATATAATTTTTTGTTGGAACTCTTTCGTCCATATATCTCTTTATATAGCTTCAAACGGATGTTTTGTATACAATATTCATAAATGTTGTTGCGTTCACAACACATCGTCCTAAACAACATAAATGTTTAATATATATATATATATATATATATATATATATATATATATAGAGAGAGAGAGAGAGAGAGAGAGAGATAGATGTTGTGAGATATGTCTATAACCGTTTGATGTGCTTATGTTTGTTTCTAAAACCAAGTGGTGGCATATTTGTAATTATATTGGTAACTTATTAACCTAACACCGTTAATTTACGATTGTGGAGCTATTGTTGTAATTTTACAAAGATTATTATGAACTTTTCAGGCTACAACACTGTAACAACCTATTCCTTTATTTTCTTTCTCAATCAAAGTCTCACTTCGAACTCTCAGGAAATCCTCTTTTTCTTTCTTTATAGCATTTTGTCCTAGTTTTCATTTATGACATGTTCTTGAGAAATCATTAAATCTCTTCAGAAGAAAAATAAATGAATTCGCATCTTCGTTAATCAAAATGAAAGGTTGGAATGCGAGTTATTTTTCATTTTATTGATAATGCATGTTTTTATTAATTAGTTAACTGTAGTTGTATGTTAATAATGATGTTTTTTTGTTTTGATTCAGTAGGTTTTTCGTCATTTTAACTTGATTTTGATGATTGTCTCGTTTAGAGTTGATATGTTTTTTTATTATGTTTGTCTGTGGTGTTTTTTGATGTAAGTTTTTGTTTATATTTTCACAAATAAGGATTTCAAAAGAATATATGTTCAAAAAAAATTCAAAAATCAAAAAAATATTGAATGCGGTAGAAGTGCTGTTATTTCTGAAGGTACAATTCAAAAAATGTCATCTATGATTAGAAGTAGAAATAAACATATAACTTAGTGTTTGAAGTTATTTGTTGTAATCATAACTGAATTTTTGATTTTTTTTCGGTGTATTGAACATAGCATTTAGTTATATGTTTATTTCTTCTTCTAATTATAGATGATTTTATACGTTTGTTTATAATCATTGGTAAATATTAATGATAAATGTATTTTTATGTATCAAACATGAATATAAAGCTATTTTGTAATCATAACTGGTTTTGTGGTTCTTTTAAGTGGATTGTATATAACATTTAGTTGTATTTTTATTTATTGTTCTAATTATAAATGATTTTATACGTTTGTTTATAATTATTAATGAATAGTAATGATAAATGTACATTTTATTTTTTACTAACACTATGTTTGTAATGAAAATTGTGGTTAAAAAAAGGGAATGTAGATAGCTCAAGCAAGACACGGTCATCTTCCAAAAGATAAAAGGTGAATGAGGTGCTGCAAACACGTTCAAAGACATCCAAAAAAATAGTTATTGAGCAACCAAAAGTGAAGCTGAGGGTTAAGGTTAAAACTGTAAGTAAGGAACGTGAACTATCTGATGAATATGATTCAGATTTTCAGAGTCGTCCTGGATCTTCAAAGAAAACAAAGAGATAAACTAAAGTTTTGAAGAAATATAAAAAAGTTGCTGTTATAAAAGAATTTCCTTCATTTAAGAATAGATGTTCACCCGGGTCATTGTTGGGTGTTATTCAAGGTTTAAGTAGAGAACAGAAGGATTGTGTTAAGGCTATGGGATTTGGGAGTTTGTTAGGGATGAAGATGATTGACATACCAGCGAAGATTCTTTATTATGTTCTTGATCATTTTAATTTTGAAACGTTGGAGGTGGAGTTTGAGAATTATCAAGTTAGTGTTCATAGTAAGTCTCTTCAAGAGATGTTAAGATTACCATTTGGTGGCTTATTACTTTCAAATATGGATTACATTTCGGAGAATAATGAACAGAGCTATATGTTTGAATGGAAGAAACAATACGAAAATATTGATAAATTGAGATTGAAATAGCTAAAGAATGAACTTGTTCAAACTAGTGTTGCGGATGATAACTTCAAAATCAATTTTTTGGTTCTTTTTATCAATACTTTCTGTGAGTCTACAAGCATTTGTAAATGTAATCTGAATCCATTGTATTTAATCAGAAGAGATGATGATTTAAGTAGCATTGACTGGTGCGATTACATTGTGGATTGTTTGGTAAGGACGAAGAAGGTTTACAATCCAGAGAAAGAATCTTCTTTCTTTTATGGACCATCAACATACCTTATGGTGTGTGAGTTATTTTTTGATATTAATTATTCTGTTTTAGTTGTAAAAGTAGGTTTGTTTTTATAATAAATCATATATGATTTTATTACATATAAACATATATTAATTTTTGTTTAATTATATATTACACATCAACATCATATATGATGTTATATATGTTATCATGTTATATATGTTTTTTGTAGTTATTGTATGTGGATACTTTCAAGTTTGATCATTTGCAAGTCACACGTAAAAGTCCAACTATTTTTCATTGGACGTTACAGAAGATAAGGTTTCTTGAGGATATTTTACAAGAGAGTGTAGGATTTGGATGTGGACATGTTAATGAAGCATATGTTGAAGAAGAATTTCAAGAATCTGATATAATAAGGAAGAAATTGGTGGTGATGAGGATGGATCTCATGGTGAAGAGGATTTATGTGATGAGGATGAAGAAGATTTTAATGCTAATAAAGTTAGTGTTGTGGAGCTAATTCTATAGTATTATTCATTTATGATTTAATTAGTTTATTAATTTATGACTTTTTATGTTTAAGTATTTTAGTTGTATGTATCTTTTTTTTCTTATGTGGGTGTATGAAAGTAAAATTTCATGTATGTATCAGAAGATGGAGGATTTGAAAAATGATCTTGTTGTAAAGATAGATGAGGAAGTGTTGAAGTTTCCTCAAAGTCAAAATTTGAAAAATTGGAAATTATTATTTCCTATTGAAGATATAAGCACATAACGTTTTGATTTTCATTATGTTCCACAAAAAAATAGAGAACCGATATTAGCACCTGGTTTTGTTCAAGTTAATGATGAAGATTATGGGAATAATTTTCTTAATGATGATGAACATGTTAAAGATTATGATTAAGGGAAATGTTCTGGTGGTCAGGGGGATGGAAGTAGTCGACATGAGGGTAATATTGGTAAAAATCATGTTGAATGTAAAGCTGATGATGTTGGTAAAAATAATGATTTGTTGAGTGAGAAAGATGATGAACATGATGAACAAGGAAATGGAAGTGGTTGTAACAAAGAAGAGGCCATGAATTTAAATTCTGTTGTTGAAAATGTTACTAAGAGTGTGGGTCTAAATGATCACCAGGAAGGTGTATCTTTTAGTCAATTTATTTGCGATCTAGTTGTTGAAAGTATTCTTAAAACTTTGGATCAAGGTAGGCATATTTTATTATTATATATAGTTAATCATATATGATTTTAAATTTTTATATTTGAATTTTATAGGTACTGATGGTTGTATAAATCAGAAACAAGTTGAAGAGGATGTGAATGAGAATTTGACTGGTTTTGATGATGGTAAGTATTTATTTATGTATTTTTAATACATAATATATATATATATATATATATATATATATATATATATATATATATATATGTGTGTTATATATATGATTCAATTATGATTTTAATAATTTAGGGACTATAAATTTGGGTGAGGATGATCATAAGAAAAAAGTAATTTTAGATCATAATGTTGATAAAGTTATTGTAGCAAAGAAGGATGGAGAAGGTGAAGATGTCGAACATTGTTCAAGTAAAAATAAAGATGGAGTTAATTTGTTTACAATTATTGTTTATCCATATATGATTGTATTTATAATTATTGTTTATTCATATGTGATTTTCATAATTATTGTTTATTCATATATGATTTTTATAATTCTATTGGTCAGAAAATGTTGAAGATTGTTCAAATAAAAACAAGGATTCAAATGAGACTCGATCATTGAAAAATAAGATTGTTCCAAGTTTTAGCCTTGGATTTAGTCAAGATTCTGAAGGTTCCAAGAAGTCATTTCAAAGTCAAATTTCTTTTGAACGGGTGACAAAGAAAAAGATTTAGGATAGAGTTTATTTTGGAAAACCAAGTGCTAGTCCAGAGTTACTTACTGCAAATGTTGATGTCATTGATGCTAGTCCAGATTCTTTTGCACCCCCTTTGTGTACATTAGAAGGACCATTAAAACCTGCTTTTGTCAAACCTAAAGATATAATGAAGAAGCAACATCAGTAGTGGATGTCAAAGGAAAGAGAGGAATGAAGTTTTCTTATGTTTATAAGTCACCATTTAAGAAAAGGTTAATTGATTTTAAACCAAGTTTAACACAAGTAGAAAATGTTGTTTGTGAATGGATTTTCAGTCTTAACCGAAATCCAAGGTAATTTTTTTAATATAATTTTTTTATAATTATAATTTTTTATTTTAAATAACATTTAAATAAATATCTACAGGGATGTTGTATTGCTTATGGAAAAAGATGCTATGGGCTTTAGAGATAATTATGAAAGTCTTTATAAAAAATACTATTTGCATGTAAGTTTTCTTGATTCATGGGCTTGTATACTAAATTATCAAGAGAAATTCAGAGATGTTGTTAATTCTCCACTCAGATTGTTCATGAATTCTGACATTGTAAGTTTTTATTTTATTCTTTTACTTTCATATTTTGATAATAATTAATGATTTTTTATTAAATATTTACATGTTATTATATAATCATTTATGATTTTCTTATATTACAAACTTTGTCATTTGAATATAATCATTTGAATGAAACTGCAAAATATAAAGTTTTCAAGGATAACTTCTCTCACAATGTTTGTGGTGATAGAGACTTGAAGGTTTTTGAAGGATGTTGATATATATATATATATATATATATATATATATATGTTTTATTTCTAATATTAAACATGTTGATGTTAGGTATTTTTCCCTGTTTTGAGGCATAAGCACATATATCTTATTGTTATCAATATGAAGAAATGTGATTTTGAGGTTCTTTATAATGGTGCAGGTGATGTTGATTTCGATGATAAGTATGGTGCAGTTTTTAAACCTCTTGTAAGTGTCAAATCATATTTATTCTTTAGATTTGAAATCACATATGATATGTTTTATAATTATTATACTTATATTTTTCTAACTTGAAATCATATATGATTTTCAGAAAAAGTCTTTTTTAAGGTATATAAAAGAGATCAATCATGCTAAAGCAAATGAAATGGCTGATAAAAATGTTACTCCAGTAAGATTGATAATGCCATGGAGGACGGTTTATAACAAAGTGGATTGTGGAGTTTTTGCTATGATAAATAGGTTGTAAATGGAAATGTGGTCTTCCAAAAAAAGGTGCTTCTCAGGAATTTTTTTTGGAGAAGTTGAGAATGAAATATGCAACAACAATGTTAACTTTTGAGATTAATAAAAAGCATGATGATGTGTTAAAAGCTGAGTATGAGTATCAAAAAGTTGATCTAAAATTCGTGGTAAGCATGCATATGATGCTCAATGGAATATAGAAACAAGGCTGCCAAAGTTTTTTTGATTGAATATATTCTTATTTTAGAAGTAAATGAATGGATGATGTTTTAAGAACAAGTTTGTTTATGTTTTCTTATGTTATGGATATATTATAGAATGTTTGTTTTTTATGGTGATGGAAAACAATTTCATATGTAGTTTGGTGGATTTTATTATGTTATTGAATGTTAATCATAACTGATTATGTTATAATTTTATATATGTAATTATGTTTTTAGTACTGATCATATGTTGGTTATATGTAATCATTAGTGTTTTTAGTGCATCGAACACATCACCATGCATAATCTTATCTTTCTAAGATTTTACTTTTGTTTTTTAGTGTTTGTAGTGAAAAATCTTTCCTTTATAAATCAAAAGGAATTGGGACATCGAGATGGTGTTTGAGTTGTAAATTTGTTTTTATAAAGGGGTAGCCTTCTGCTACCCCTTATATTTGCTCAAAGATGAGTGTTTATACTTCCCAATGGTTAGTTTTTAATATTAATTCCTTCAATTTTTAATTTAATTTTTTTTTTATATATCATAATTATTTATTTATGATGTAAACAAACTTCCATTTCATTTTAGGTAAATTATGGACTAACTAATTTTGTTTTATCTAATAACATGCTTCCCATTTTTTTTAAGATTCCTGTTCTTTTATTGGAAGCTAGATTTTCATATTGATTGTATCTAACTCCAATAACGTCACTTCCATCATTACTTAAAAAGTTTATCTGCATTGAACATATCAGATCTTTACTAGATGTCTTTGAAGTAGAGGAAGGTTGTTCATTTAAAGAATATTTCTTTTTAATGAACAATATTTCTCTAAATCAGATATGTAGTAAAGATGTGTCATGTTCAATGGAGATAATATTTTTATGTAATTGTGGAATTATTCTTGGAGTCAGCTATAATATTTATAAAAATCTAGTTAGGAATATGAAGAATAAGAATCTAAGAAAATGGGGAACGTGATATTTGAGACTTGTGAAATTGTTTGTTATTGAAGCTTTTATCATGTTTGATGTTATTCTATGATGATGAATATTTTTATTGTCACACCCCTGAACCAGACGGCGGAAACGTCCGAGGGCTATTGTGACTTAATTGAATACCATCACAACGAATATACATGAATCATAACACCATTCATCACCATGCATTGAAATACTACAACCATCAGTGTTTACATTTAGTACATTGTTTTAAAACATTACATTTCCAAAACATAAACCGTTCGACATTAATTAAACAAAACATCATGATATCACTGGATACATTTTCTTCGATTTACCTGTTACCTGAGAATACAAGTATTTTGGAAAAACGTCAACATATGAAATGTTGGTGAGTTCATAAGTAATGTTTGAAAAATAATGATTTGTGTTATTTTGAAAGCCACCAGAAAATCCGATATTTTCTGAAAAGATTATTGTAAGTAAGATTAAGTGTGAAGATCCGTAAGTATGCTTGTTGATTTCTGTAAGTGTGAATAATTGTTCGACTTTGTATGCATTACATAGGTGAAAGTGTTGAATTCCCTAGGAAAACCCGATGTTTTCCTAATACATCAATTTACGTGGCATAGTTAGTATTGTTCCGTTACGATGTTGTATTTTATAGTTCCAGGTGACATGGGATTAATTATGGGTTGTGAGTCGTTATAAGCACGCATTAATGAAAATGACTAGTTTACAGCTTTACAAATGATCCCTTAGGCGTCGTCCGTACTGCTCACTTAATCCAACCACCCTAACTTCTCATAGCCCCACGATCGAGGAGAAAAGAGGGTGCGAAGCCCCCGTTAATTCCAGAAGACGTTCAAGGTTATCATGAATGCGAACGACACTTGGTCTGACTCACATTTGGCTTCTCGACTTTGCTAGCGGTACCAAAGGACCCTTGTGGCCCAACAGCACACTAAGGCTATTGAAAGTCCTTTTACAAGGAATTAGGTCATGTAAGACCCAATAACATGTAAGCGTGTTCCCTTCGGGCCTAAAGATCATGTCATTGGACAGCTAGGCCCAACAAGCACGATTTGAAACTTTTGAGCCCAAAGAATGTGTATTGACTTCTCGCATATTACTGTGTGTATATTGTAGTACCATTGTACATTGATTTTTGATTCGTTATTGATTCGAGACCGAATCGACTCGTTTGGTAACGATTTTGGTGTTGAAGGTGTATCTATTTTTCTTGACACTTTAGTATTAAAACTTACGGATCTTCACAAATTTTCTCGGATAAAATTTACACTTTTAACCCTTTGTGTATAAAAGAATTTCCGGTTTAGTCCGTAAACTATTTTTCTTGACACTTTAGTATTAAAACTTATTGGAAAGACATTTTTAGCACAAATTTTAATTGAAAAACAGCTTCAGTCCCTAAAAATGAAATTTTCTTGGTTGAGACCCCTATTTTCACAATTTTTACAATTTTGGCCCAAAATGGAAAATTTATACATTTTTAGTCCCTTTTTAATTTGAAAACATTTTTGACCCTTGAAATAGTTTTATTACATTAGTAATACCTTGGTTTTCATAAATGTGTAGTTTCAACCCCTCTATTTTCGGATTTTCGCAATTTGGGCTTATTGGGCCGAAAAGCCCAATTTTAGCCCATTAGGTATAAAATTTACATTTTAAGCCCCTCCAAAGTGGTTTTATTCAGAAAAATTATCATAAAGACTGTTTGGACTTGTTTCAACCTCCAGAAATTTTGTTTTGTCATTTTGGGCCCAAAAATGGGTTTTGTGTCCAAAGATGTTCATTCTAACTAAATAACTCATTTTTATTGACTTGATTAGTGTAGAATGGTATAAGCTACGTTTATTTCATTCTTCATGTTGTATATCTCAGTTTTTAGGTATTATTAGCTAGTATAATCATCACATGACACATAAAATCCATACATACATGCATAAAATCACACAAGACATACATGAAACTCATAGATCTTACACATTTGCTTGTATTCTCCCCCAAAAAAACTTGTAAAATAGAAAAATAAGGGGTATGAAGCTCACCTTGAGTTGTGGTTTCGATTTGAGGAAGAAAAGAGAAGAGTTTGTTGCTATTTTCGGCCCTAGCAACCTTTCTTGGAAGATCTTCGAATTTAGGGGGGGTTCTAAGATGTAAGATCATGATTCCACATGATTTAAGAAGAGATTTTTGATAGAACAAGGAGTCTAGAGTGTGGATCCAAGCATCAACTTACCTAAGATGATGATTTTTGTGAAGAATCCTCCTTGCAAAGCCCTTGAATCTTGAATTTTTTGAAGGAAGGTGAAGGGATTTGTGGGGTGTTCTTGAGAGTGCTTAAGTGAATAATTATGTGTGTGTGTGTGTGATACTCTTAGCTGAGAGTAATAGAAGAAGAAGAGAGAGAGAGGGAAGTGAAAGGTTATGCGTCGATACATGTATATATGCTTGGTTATCCCATAGGTATTAAGGAGGTGGCTAATCCTCCTTAATTATCCCTTTCTTTTTTTTCTACTTCTTGGGCCGAGAGATAGAGGGGAGAGATGGAGACTTGGGCCTTTAGTGCTTAAATCCAAATCATAGGCCCATGTTGATTGTTTTTCGGCCCATTGGACTTCTAGGGTGCCTCATGCCCAATTTGGTTCATTTAAATGATTTATTTCATTCTAGGCCCAATATGGCCGAAAATGGTAAAATGAATGAAAGTGGGTCCAATTAGAGCCTATTTAAGAGTTGTAAGTGCAAGATGGTCAAATTGGAAGCTTATTGGTCCATTGGGCTCAATAAGGAAGTCCTAGTCCAAAATGGACTTAAACAAGGACTTCTAGGGTTTCCAATTGCTTGTTGACTATTTGTAGTGCTTGTATGATATGTTTGATTGAAATTTTATTTTCATATAGTATGCATCATACATGCTCTTGAGTCTTTGATTCACACTTTGGCTTAATTGTTGTAGTCTACAAGGCACAAAAATTTCTAGGTTGTCACATCATCCCCCCGTTAGAGGGAATTTCGTCCCGAAATTCTTTTGAAAGCTAGATTTGAGAATGCTAGAATAGGTGAGGGTACTTTTGCTTCATTTGGTCCTCGCGTTCCCATGTGAATTCTGGTCCACATTTCGCGTTCCACCGTACTTTCACGATCGGGATGCGACTTTGCTTAGTACGCTTCACCTCCCTGTCAATGATTTTGACTGGTTCCTCAATGAATAGGAGATTCTCGTTGATCTCAATCTCGTCAAGGGGAGTGAAGAGTGTTTCATCTAATAGGCACTTCTTAAGATTGGAGACATGGAACACGGGGTGTACGCTGTTTCGCTCCGTGGGTAGCTGTAGTTTGTACACCACTGGACCTATTCGGGCAAAGATTTTGAAAGGTCCAATGTATCGTGGGTTCAGTTTTCCCCATTTTCCGAAACGAATGACTCCTTTCCAAGGTGAAACTTTTAACAACAATCGATCTCCGACCTGAAACTCTAAGGGCTTTCGCCGTTTATCGGCGTAGCTCTTCTGTTGGTCGCGCGATGCTTGTAGTCGGGCTCTGATTTGAACTATCTTTTCCGTGGTTTCACGAATGATTTCCAGTCCCGTTAACGCCTTGTCCGATGCGAGAGCTTTTTCTAGCTGGGTGTCACCCACCTTAGCCCAACATAACGGTGATCTACACTTACGTCCATATAGTGCTTTGAAAGGAGCGACTTTGATGCTCGAATGGTAACTGTTGTTATAAGAGAACTCCACTAAGGGCAAGTGGGTATCCCAAGAATTCACAAAGTCTATCACACATGCGCGAAGCATGTCTTCGAGCGTCTGGATGGTTCGTTCACTTTGACCGTCCGTTTGTGGGTGATAAGCGGCGCTCATGTCGAGATGGGTTCCAAGTGATTTCTGAAGTGAGTGCCAAAATCGTGAAGTGAACCTACTATCTCTATCCGAGATAATAGACATTGGTACTCCATGGAGTCACACAATTTCTCGAGTGTATAATCGTGTCAGTTTCTCCATCTTGTAGGA